AGACTTACCAAAGACCGCATTACTGAAACTGAAAAAAGGGGAGGGAGGAGGTTGTCGGACTATTGTGATCACGTGCGAGGCGCTGATTGGTTGAGCTACGGACCGTCGGCCAATCAGCGACAGTCGCGGTTTTGAAACCTGAGTAGCAGAAAAACCGCCATTTTTTTCTTGAATTGCAATCGGGGTCACTTTCGGGGGAAACTACAGAAATACAACAATAGTATTAAGAATAAACACACAAATAACAAAGCAACAAACTTACTTTTTACACTTGAGCGCTGGCGTCGACGTGAGAAAAGACGAGAGGGTGTGCGACAGTCCTGGAATGGGCACGATATCCACATCCACGAGAAATACCCACTCCGTGCCACATGTCTTCCGGGCCACGTTCCTCAGCACGTTCTGTGGGTATGGCATCCTCTCCCTCCACGACAGCATCTGTTGGGAAGAAAAAAATAATTTCAGTCTTTCATTTTCTTTCTTTGTCTTTGTCTCTCTCCATTTCTCACTCTACTTATCTGTCTTCTTCCCTCCCTTCCTGTCTCTGTCTCTGTCTGTCTGTCTGTCTCTCTCTCTCTCTCCTCTCTCTCTCTTCTCTCTCTCTCTCTCTCTCTCTCTCTCTCTCTCTCTCTCTCCTCTCTCTCTCTCTCTCTCTCTCTCTCTCTCTCTCTCTCTCTCACCTCTTTCAAAAAATAAGAAAAATAATAATAATAGATAAACATAGTAAATAAAGAGAGGAAAGCTTTAACATGGAGGCTAATGACTCATAAACAGGTTAAGAAAAAACTAAAGATTAATAAATAAAAAAAATAAAATAAAATAAAAATTAAAAAATGATAAAAAAATAAATAAATAAAAAACGAATAGAATGTGAAGTATAAATGTTAACAGAAACGAACAGCCTTAGAGGCACAAATAGAATAAGCAGTTAGAATTAAATAATAACCTAAAAGTACACAATTCTGCATTAAAGCGAAATGTTAAACTCAAAGCATTAAGTAATCGCTGCACATTTGCCTGAAAAAAAAAAAAACTTACACCATGCAAATGTCCCTTAATGTGTGCACAAAAAGGCTTTACCTCTAACGAGTGTATACGCAAATATGCTTCTTTTACAAACGCTGTAATATCAATTACAAAATGCTTATGCTGCAATGCCAGGAAAATATGGCGGTCCTGTGCAAAGGCGCTGGACTCTGCGGCGGAGGAAGCGACGTAGCAGAGTGGTTTGTT